AATCTGAGAGTTCACCATTTTTCTAATTTCCAGCCTAAACCAGTTGAAAACTGGTTATGTGCCTGTGTTGTTCTTCAGTTTTAAACGGGCCCTCTTTTTTTGCTAAGCCAAACCCTTCTAAGGTTACCTACTGACACAGTGCAGAGGCACACACAATAGTTTTATGTATATTAGCTCATGTATCTCAATTGTGACAGAAAAAAACCCCACAATAATACTCTTTTTTCTTCTGAGACTGGGAATGCCACATTCCTGTATATAGAGTTGCTGATACACTTAGACTGATCTACTTACATTGTACCATTGCAGCTGACACTGGACTTGACAGATTACAATAAGATCAGCAGAGAGTTCTTCCAAGGTGCAACTTTTCAAAATTACCTTTTTGTTGAATACAGTTCAGTTGTCCAGCATTGATGAAAATTCAAATACTAAAAAAAGGCTAATATTTCTACAAATGTCAAACATATTTCTACATATGCCAAGCATAAACTGGGAGAAGAGTGCTGGAAAGCAGCCCTGCTGAAAGGGATCTGGGGGTGCTGGCTAGCAGCAGCCTCAGTGTGAGCCAGCAGTGTGTGCCCTGGTAGCCTAGAGGGAAAACCCCATCCAGGAATACATCAAACACAGCATGACCAGTCAGTCAGAAGAGGCAATTATCCTTCTGTATTCTGTGTTGGTGTGGCCTCATCTGGAGTGCTGTGTGCAGTTCTTAGCTCCATACAAATCAAGAAGAATGTGAAGGTCCTTGAATGTCTCCAGAGGAGGGCAACAAAAGCTGGTGAAAGGGCTGGAAGGAATCTCCTAAGAGGAGTGGTTGAGGACTTTGGGTTCATCTAGTTTTGAGCAAAGGAAGTTGAGGGACAATCTCCTTGCTCTCTACAGCTGCCTGGAGAGAAAGTGGAGAGGGAGGTCCTTATCTCTTCTCCCTGGTATCCAGTGGTAAGACACAAGGGAATGGCTCAAAGCTGCACCAGAAGAGTTTCAGACTCGACATCAGGAAGCATTTCTTAATGAAAAGGGTGGTCAAACACTGGAACAGGCTTTCTAGAGAGGTGGTTGTTGCCCTAAGTCTGCCAGCGTTTAAGAGCCATTTTTACAATGCTCTTAATTACACACTGTAACTATTGGTCAGCCCGGAAGGGGTTAGGCAGTGGGACTGAGCATTGTAGTTCCAGCTGAACTATTCTATTCTATTCTGTTCTATTCTATTCTATTCTATCAGCTGCACAGAGAGCAACTGTTTATTTGTACCCACCTAAACACTCTGTGGCATGTAAAGTTTCCCAGAAAGAGAGTAACACTACCCTGAAAAAATTCTCCAGGCAACTTCAGGGCAGCCTCGGTTGCTATGCTATGCAGAGGAAAGCAACAAAAGGGTTGCTCTGCCACTCCTTGTTTCATACACATAAAAGACAGTATTTCATCCTGTCAGACAGTAACAAAACTCCTGTATTCAGGGCAAGGGTCTGGTCTTGCTATTTTATGGGTCCGCCAATGCCACAGCTCAGAGCTCAGCAGGCTTACTCATTTCCACAGCTGCACCTGGCACCTGGAAAGTTAAACAACCTGGCCACACAAGAAAAGAAAAAACAGGCAGGCAGCAAAGAGGAGAGTGAATATAAGGGAAAGAGCTGAATATAGAAAGATAAGGTGAAAGAAGCTGAGTGAGAGAGGAGTTAAAGAAAGAGGGGGAATTATTCCTGGTGGTTATAAGAGACTAAACTGCTTGAATTTGTTTAAGAAACATGACAGAAGGCACAGGGAATAAAAAACATAGCTAACACACAGAGGAAGAACAAAGACTCCATTCTGAGAGTGCCAAGTGTTTGCTTTAAGTATCAAACCCTGTTGCTAATGTATTTCTCTCCTCAGTCTGTCCATTTTTTTTTCCCAAAAAAATTACAGGTGGTTGATCCTGCAAGCACTTCAAAGCTGGTGACTGCACCTAATGCAACAGCTCCAGTCTAAAGAGTTGTCTGGAGGTTAGCAACCCTCTCTGTGATATGTATAATTTTTCACAGAATATGCATTATCCATTATCTATTTTGAATAACTAAATGCAATTTTGATATATTCATGCACAGCCTTGATACACTGCTTTCTACTGGGATCTTTTCCCAAAAAATGAGTAGCAGCTGGGGCCATGGTGCAGTAAAGAATCTTTTAACAATGCAGAAAAGATTAAAGACATAATTTCAAACAATGCAAAATATTTGTTTAATAGCTTCATGTGAATCTCAAATGAATTTCAACATTTCATTACTAAGAATATGCACTTGAATTTTCACCTTAACACCATTTCCTAGGTACTGCACTTGTCGCATTTGGTTGAATCACTTGTCTAAAAGAAGAAACTGTACTTTTCTAGAAGAAACAAAAAAACACAACAAAAACCCACAGCTGCAGTAAAGTTACCTTTGCTTTTGTAAGAAACACAGGTGGACTCTGCTGGTCTGATCTAAGCATGTCCTTGTCCTCCACCCCAGGGAAGCCAGCAGTTTCCTGGCACTGCTGTAAGGCAGTATTACTCAGCACAAAGAGGGAGTGGCAGGCAGAGCTGGGGGCAAGGCAAGGTTTCTGGGGAGTCACCAAGATCCAGCTGCTGTCCCCTACACCAAGGGTGCAATAGTAACTCTCTAGAATACTTGTGCTGACAACTACCATTCCTGAAAGCAAACACTCTCCCTCCCGAGAAAAGTTGTTGTTTTAGATGATAACTTATTTGCTGTTAAAAGCTTATCAAGAGAATTTAGACAGATGTTTGTACTCTGAGACAAGAGCAGCCTTGTACATGCCTCACACCTTGGAAAACTCCTCTCCTCACCAGGCAGCAAGAAAGGGTTCAGCTGCTTTTTTGGTTTGAAAAGCAAAGATGAACTTCCTCTTTGTTCTGCAATGTCAGTGAACTCTGAACTGCTGCTGTCTCCAGAGGGAAAACAAAAATCTAATGTTCAGTGGAACCTCCCATGCAAACTGATTGTAGGGGCAGAACTGCAGCCTGGTTGTGGGAGGAGGAGTGTTTAGCTGCTGCCAGGTTAAAGTGAAGGAAAGGCAGAAAGAAATTCGGCTTCAGTGGTTGCTGACACACTTACTATCTGTTTAAAAAACAAGTCGATACTGTTTGACATTCATTTCATAACAGCAGGCAAATTATTTCTGTAAAATATGAGTAATAGAAGATTTTCATACAAGGGGACTAAGTAAAAAAAAAAAAAGCCCTAAACTTTTTTATGATGACTGAGGTTCTTCTAGGATGTGTAAGACATGTAGCTGACCCACACTAAAATTATAAGCAACATAAGAAGAGACATCTAAGCTCTGGCAAAACAATTTGCATAATTGTGGCTATTGAGCTCTGGAAAGAAGAGAGGATTCTATTAATGCCTCCTGTAAACACATGGGTAACTTCAAAGGGGAATCAATGTTAAGGATTTTTCAAAAGAAATTAAATTAGCTTTTTACTCCACCATATCAGCATTAAAAATTGACCAGCAGTTGTAACTATATATATACTATCACCTCATTAACAATGTGTTGGATAGGCAACTAAAATCTGTTTCAGAATTCCACAAAGCAACTTGCAGATTAAGAAGAAAGTTCCAAATCAAGGTTCTTCTCTTACAGTCTTTTCATGTTAATAAATACTTAACCATCAGTCTAGGAAATTTAATATACATCTGAAAACAGAACCTAATTCTAAATCACCCAATTAAAGGGGTGTAATATGAACCAATTAAGACATGCTCTGCCTCACTTATCTCAAGCAGGAATAAGAGAACTTCACAGTACTTCTACTAACATTAGCTATGGTAGCTACATCAGCTGTTAAACTTATACCAAACTACACCTTGACACCCTGAAGAAGATCCTCAAAGGATCTCAGGGTGTTCTGTTGTGTGAACGTACACAGTTCTGTTTGGTTACAAAGTGATCAGTCCAGCGCAATGCTTTAGTGTCAGAACAAAGAAAGAATCCAAGAACCCTTAATACTGTTTCACATATATTTTTTGTCTATGCCTTTTGTTTTCTTTAAATTAAGAAATTTTTTTTTAATGCAGGGGTATCAGCAAATTCTTTAAATTATGATATTCTAAGTAAATAACACAAAGAGATATACATAACCTTCAGAATAACTTGTGAGGTAAAGCTGTTTCCCTTGTGATGCCCATGGATATTATAATTGTTGCAACTGACATCACACACAATATGAAATTATTTATTGTGCACTGTTGCAACATGTAATAAAGAGACATAATGTGATTGGAAGGACTCCCATACGGCTGGTTCCCCTCTCCGAGCCCTAATAGTATCACCAATAGTATCACAACGAGCGGCTTCAGAAATTACTTACCACAATTGACTATGATCCTGGAAAGATTAACTAGGTAACTGCTTCAAAGAAGAGAGGATGCACGAGAAGCACATTTAATTATTTCGTCATCACGAAGAATCAGCTATGCCTTCGTAAGCATCAATTAATCGGGTGTATCCAGTAAAGATCTCTGCCAGATAAGAGTAGGAAGGGTATGGCTCGGAGCGCAGAAAAATGAGGCTTACAGGGACGGCCGTACTAAAAAAGCTCACAATTTTATTTTCCCATGAGACTGGGCTCCCTCTATAAGTTGCTCGTTAGTTTATTAGTTTGTTGTCGCAGCTGCCCTGCATGCCTCCTGCACGCTCCGGCTCGCTCCCCGTGGCGGAAGGGGGGAAATAAAACGCAAACTTTGGAAACCCTTGGGGCGCCCAGCCGCACCTTCCCGAGGGCTGCGCTGGCGGCACCGCCTCGTCCCTCCTAGGCTCCGCGGGCGGAGCTCGCTGGGGCGGACGGGACCCGCCGCCGCGGGACGGGCTCCCCGAGGGTGGGACGGGACGGGCGGGGCTCGGGGCCGGGTGCCACTTGCCCCCTCCCGGCGCGGCTCCCGCCCGGCACACTCCACCCACCCGCGGATACTTGGGCGCCCCTGGACGGGCCGCCGGCATTTCCGCGGTGGGCGGCCGGAGGAGGTGACCCGGTGTGTCCCGGGCGGAGTGCCGTGGCCATGTCGCGGGGCCCCGCCGCGGCCGTGCGGCTGCTGGCGCTGCTGGTGAGTCCTGGGATGGCGCGGGGGTCCCCCGGTACCGGGGCGGGGGTTGCTGTGCGGGAAGAGGGGCGCGGGAGGTGGTACCGCCGCGGGGGGCTTGTGTGCGGCCGCCGGGGAGAGGCGTTCCCGTCGGGGTTTGGCAGCCTTCCCACCACCGGCCTGCCTGTGGCTAGGAACGAGTTTTCTTCCTTTCTTTGGGAATTAGATAAAAGCCATCGCCATTTGATTGCCCGAAAGCAAGTGGAGGTAGAAAATCCCGACAGGAACGGTACCTGGGATGGGTGGGGTTGCTCAGGCGCTGGGAGGAACAGGAACATAGTGAAAGAGTTTACATTGTTGCCGTCTTCGTGTTCAGCATATTATCTGTACTGATAAATTGCACTACCCTTTTGAGGGAATAGTGCCAGGAGGGAATACGAATCAAAAAGTTTGGAAGTCTTTATCGCCTTAGAGAAATTACTACCTTAATAATCCAAGACACTTCAGGCTTCCTGCCCCCCCGCCCTCACTATTTTTCAGCCATCAGCCTTTAGAACTTCCATCCTATGAAATACTTTTTCAGGCTAAAAGCAAGGGCTGTCACATAACACGCTGAGACCAAAACACCTGGTTTGTTGGATTTGGACTGATGCTTTCTAGGTGTTTCTAGCTGGTTTACAGCAAGCTCTCTGTCATATCTGCGGCATTTTCTTTTGCTTTTCACCTTTCCAGGCTGGCAGAATGCCTGCGGAAGTTGGGCTGCCACCACTCACACAAAGGTGCGGGTGGAGGCCAGGCCCTGGGCTGTGCCCTGAGCTGCTGAACAGAGATCTGTAATGGCTCGTTGCATGGCGAGGATGGAAGGTGTTGAGGATTGGAACCTCGCTCCCTGAGCTTGAGATCCTGCAAAATCAGATTTGCTATCTGGAGAACTGTTGTCTGATAACTTTGATATAGGCATATGGTTGTCCACAAGTCAGCCGGCAACAGTTAACCCTGTTTTTTTACAGCAAACTGGGAGTTACAGTTTGGTTGGAAAATGTTTAACCCTCATTTTGTCCAAAAGAAAAATGGAAAACCTGTGGAGTGCTACTTGTGCAAAAGTTTTCACCGATTCTTTGTGTAATACCTGAAACCACACCATCATCCATTTTATTAGGCTTGCACTGGCTCAAGATGCTGCTAGTTTTGCCTGAAGAAAATGATTTTTCTCAATTCTCATCATCCTCAGTCTCAGCTAAAACTGGGGCAGGGTATGGTGTACTGAAAGTCAACTCAGTTTGATGCCTAAAAGCCTCGTTGTTGGATAGAATATTAGAGCAAATAAGGCTGCCTTGGTTGGTGTCAGAAGAAAGAGAGAGGCACTGCTGGGTTTTGCACTTTTGGTTTTTTGATTTACTTTTTTTTTCCTGATCTGGACAGAGCCATTCATGTGGCAGAAAGTCAAGTTGCTTCTTTGAGGGTTTCAGATTAGCGTCATTTATTTCTTATTAATCTTAAGAAACTGCTGAAAAACAAGGCTAGTCTAAAAGTAGTGTCTTCTCAAAGCATCTTCTATCTTAGACACAACAAAAATAGTAAGTTCTTCCTCTCCCAGTTTTTCCTGGAAGTATCTCTCGATGCTCCCTCCCTGCCTGCAGGCTGCCTCCCTGTATCATCATCCCTGGGTACCTCACAGAGGTCACGGCAGATTTCCCCTGGTCCCTGCCTCTGACCCTTCTCCAGGAATGTTTGGGTGTGCTGAATGGTAGTGCACCCGTAGGGTTGGGCTTGACTTGGTGCATGTCCAGGGCACACACCCAGAGCCATGAGCCTGCCAGGCGGGCATGGCTATCAAGGATTATTAGACTGGGAAGTTTCTCAGTCATTTTCTAAAGAGGGTGGATATTATGTCTTCAAGAGAAGAAATCTTAGAACACTTCCTGCATTTGAGTGAAAGAAGAGTTGACAGAGATGTATGAATCTTACTACAGGAGTAGCAAAATTTACTTATTCTCTGAATGTCTTCCTCAGATTGTACTTCATTGATGTTTGGGATGTTAGACGTAGTCTGGGTATGGTGAAATTCAGGCTGAGTATGTTAGATCACTAATGTCAGAGCCAGTAGCAGTTAATTTTCAGAAGTCATAGAAACAAGTTAAATAAAAAATACCACAACATGATACTTAGTTTTACAAAGAGCAAAGGTGAGCTAATTCAAAGCAACCTAGCTTCTATTACCAGTAACATGTTGAAACATGGTAAAAGTTATTTACAAGCATCTGTGCATTGATTCAACATTTTAATATTGTTCCAAAAAGCGGGGGAAACTGCTATGGTGAGGTCTGAAGGCAGCTGAGAAATTCATAAGATCTGCTATTTTATCCATCCTATTGAACTAAAGTGGTGTGTTATTTTTGATACCAGACTTCAGAATAAAGTGAATCTGTCCAGGAGAGAGTAGAGGAAAGTGAAAAAATGCAATCTGAAGCCACAAAATTGTGCTTTATGATTTTTGAAGGGAAATTAAAGAACCGAGAACTGAGAAAAGACAGTGAGTAAGATGTAAGTTTGCAGATACATGAAAGGTTAATTGTGAAGAAAAGGGAATTGCACTGTACAGTGAGAGCATTGTCGACATCTCGATATAGGTGTTTGAGTTTCTGTTATGGTAAATGGAGATGCAGTGGATGCTGAGTGCACCTGTTTGGTTGGATCAAATTGTGCTTTCGAAGCAAATTTCCAGAGTGTGAATTTTATCTCTCCTGGGAGAGATAAAATATATGTTGGGAGATGCATCAATCTGCTTGTGGATGTTTGATCTGTGGGACCAGGCTAATTCTATTCTGAAGGAAAACCATCAAAACACAGGTTGTGTAGTGTTGGGATCTCAGTGTGAACTTCTTTGATCTAGAAATTCTCCCATACTGGGCTTACAAATTAAACATACTTACAGTCAGTAGTGCATAGAGAGAAGTAGATATGGGCTGGTTTTGGGGCAAGTTGAACTGCACTTTGATCTCTTTGTATTGGCTATATTTCTGCTTATTATAACAGAAGTTTAGGCACTTAGCTTTTATTTATACACATAAATTTGTGTGCCTTACTCTGAAACTGAATCTCATGCAAGCAGCAATATGGTCAACTTGCAAAGAGCTAAAAATTAGGATAATACAATGAAGATAAAAATTAACGAAGGCTTTCCATCTGTAAGGCTGTCTAGGCACCACCTTAGGTTAGTGAGGCTGAGGGACCTCCATCACTCATTTTTAAGAACAGGATAAGCAGTTGTCAGGAAGCCCTTGGATGTACTTTGTCTTGCAACAGGGCCAGGAGATGTACTAGTAGATAACCTTGGATGGTCCCCCTTGCTTGCTTCTCTGAGGTCTTCACTTGTCCATCATCTTCAACACCAAACTGACTCATGGAAGGTACAAGCTCCAAATTTCCCAACACAGAGCATACAGGAAAGATCACATTTCTAGGAATTACTGTTTCATGGTGTAGTGAATACAGACACGTACCTTCTTGGTTACTCAGTCTTTATATCTTTACAGTTTAAGCTGTATGTTGAAAATCTGTCCTTTAGTCACTTCCTGACTATACATGAACAGCAATTTGGGCAAGAGCAGCGTTGCACGTCCTATGCACAGCAGTCCCTCCCTTCTTTCCCATGGCCTCTTGCTGATTACTGCTGCTATCCTGTAGTATTTCGTTCCAATTTTGTTACTTCAGGCCTCACTTTTTCCACCTTGCGTTTTGTAACCATCCAGTTTTCTTCTGACAATGCGTTCTCAGCTCTGTCATCAACAGGTGTCATCAGTAGATGTCTGGGTTTTGTGCCAAGGCCATGATCCACAACGAATGACAGACAGAGCTTTCTTACTCTTACTAAGCCATTTAACAGAAGGCAACTATAGGATATTATAAACAGGGGAGAAATTTGGAATTTAATGCCTGTTGAATATGTGACATTTCACTTGTCCTTGAAGAAAATGTCAGTGAAAAGTGCTTTTTTTCCTATTTAAAATTTTTGGAACCTTTAAAAAATTTCAGTAAAAATGTGAGATCCCTTTATATATTTGTTCCACATTTATTTATGCATCTTGTAAATAAAATTGCCATTCTTAAACATTTTTTGTAGGTGTCTTGTAAGTCCTTTATGAGGCTCTGTGTGGACTACAGATTGAAAAGTGCAAGAGCAAAAGTATTTTTTACTATCTTAGCATTAAACTACAATGTTTTGAAGCCATTTGCTACTGTGTAAACAAATTGATTTTTACTTTTACTTGTCTTAATGAAAGACTTTCTGTTTGTAATGACTGATGGAATTTTCTACACTTTCTTGATATGCATCTCAGTGGAAGATCTGCTTATTCTTGAACTTCGGACGCTTTTGTTTATACTGGATACTCTCAAGTTTCCAATGCAAGGAAGCTTCTCACCACATACCTCTTATGTTCATTCAGTATTGAGACAGAAACACTTCTTCAGTTTAACAGTAAGAACAACCAAGGATGTTTCCGATGACATCTTGACAATTATTCACAGAATCACAGAATATGCTGAGTTGGAAGGAACTCACAATGATCATCGAGTCCAACCCTTAGGCTCCTCACAGGACCATCCCCAAGAGTCACACCATGTGCCTGGGAGCATCATCCAAATGCTTCTTGAACTCTGTCGGGCTTGGTGCTGTGACCACTTCCTGGGGAGCCTGTTCCAACACTCAGCCACACCTTCGAAAAGAGTTGTAGCTTCTGTTGGAATATCTTGACTATAAAGCAAAATTTTTCTGTCACTCTTGCTGGTATAATCCCATTCATAAAAATAAATTTTGGAAATCCATATAATTAATAAAACAAAATAAGACTAAGAATATTCATGAAAACAGCTTGGTCTAAGGTGTAAGATCCTGTAGCCTTCATGATGCATATCCATTGGGGAACTTACTGCTTGCTATTTTTTGTCTTCAGAATATATTCATTGGGAAAATTATCATTTGAAAAAGAGTTTTGTTGTGTAAGTTGAAACAGAATTCTACTGTATTGCTCAACACAGTCCGCTGAATTGTATGGGGAAGAGATAAGATCTTTTTTTTAAAAAAAAAGCTGTCATCAATTCAGTACTCAAGGCTGAGTCAGAGGGAGGAATAGGCAAATAGGCAGAACCCAGTCAACAGACTAGAAACCAGTCAAAGGGAATATAAAGAAATACTCCTTGACTTATTTGGGTAGAAAATCACCTTTTCTGAGCCTGCTTTGCCTAAGCAGTGGCATGCCCAAAAAATTAATCAGTAGGTAGTAATAGTTTTGAGAATAATAGCAGTATTCTCTACCTATACAAAGCATAAAAGCTTGATTTGTAGGTTTCATCTTCTGTAATAGCCTGCGTTTTGTTGGTGCTGTTTCCCAACACCTACATTTTTTGCAGTTTGAGGGATGTTGGTACTTGCAGAGTCTTTGATGCTTGGAGAGCAGACATAAACATGAGGTCTCTGGTAATTTGGCTGCAGCTTCAGTTCCTTCCAGCTGGGATTCGGCACCTAACTGAAGTGTAGCTGTCCTGGGCTGTCCTGGTGCCTGTAGAGGTGGGCAGTTGCAATACTGCATGTTGGCTTGTAAGGTTTTTGTCAGAGCAAGTGTGGTTTTCTTGCTAGCATGCACATGCCTCTGTCATGTTTAAATACAGGATGCATGTATACCATTTATCTTCCCAACACAGTGCTAAGTCATGTACACCTCAGATGTTTTTGGTTAGTCCTTGCCTTTAAATATTATTTATCCTCTTTTGTTCTCTGATGTGATTGGTAACCCGCCACAGTCACAAATCCATGGTTTGCCCAGAAGAGGGATCTCCTCTGGAGTGCTGCTGTCAACCAGTACTTGCTCCAATCAATAGCAAATTCTCATCAGTTTAGAATTATGAAGTGTTATTTAGCACTAAGGAATGGCTGTTTGAAAACTACTATAAAGTCTACGTTCCTTAGAAAAAAAATTACTAATTTCTTATAATCTGTTCCATGATGGAAGAAAAGTGAAAAATTAATAATTATTTTATTATAGTATGTGTTTTTAATGTCAATGGTCATGGGTGAATTTTTCAGAAGCTGTTATGGGTAAATAATAAATATCAATTTATAGAGATCAGAAGCCTTTTCCTTATGTCTTTGCTGTTCTTATGAGGGAGGTCATGTCAGTTAAGTTTTAGTACTGCTAAAGTGACATAGAATTAATAATGTTTATCATAATTTCCATTGCAGATCTGTTTGAATTGTGGAAATGGACTCTACGTGAAGGTAGGATACAATGGAAATCTTTTTATTTATCTATGCCCAAAGAAGTGTTCTCTGAGCAAAGTGACAAAGCTATGTCTTAAATCAGTTGACAAATATCTTGAATTTTACCATTTTTTGAAATGTGAAAGCTGCGTAATGGATAAAGAAATGAAAGCTGAAATTAAGTGAATAGACTCCTACATCCGTCACACTGAGTGGCACTGAACTTTGAGAAAACTTCCCCTAGAATATTAAGTTTGTAGATAACGTTTCTGTAAATGAAAACAACCACTATTTTATTGCATATGTTAATTGGAAATGTTTCCAGATGTTAATTGGAAGCCAACAGAGACAGTAGAGACTAAGCTGGACAGAAGGATGATGAGTGTCATGCAGAGTGACAAGGAGGGGTAGCTAAGCAAGGATAGCAGAGGCATTGAGTGAGTTGAACTGAGGCCTGATATTTCACTTATTCTGTTTCAGAGAGAAGTTTGAGTACATGGCAGCATTGGTGGGATGGTAAACGCAGTGATAAGGAGAAATGGTGGTTCAGAACAACCTTAGTGCCAAATTTTTCCCACATCTGATGACAAGCATTGAAATCTTCCTGATCAGATGTATTTTCACCAACCCCTGGTCATGGGAACTTGCTCATATATTTAAAGCATGTCTTACCTGCTTCTGTCTTGATGAAAAGACTAGTGTAGTTTCCCTCTTCAAACAACTTGAGGAGCTCTTAGATTGTAACTGAAAAGGCTGATGCTGCTCCACAATTTTGAAGTCACTAGCTATTGGAAGTGCAAAAGCTATTCAGACAGAAGCAATAAAGCATTTATCTGAAATGCTGACATTCAGTCTTGTTTTTTCACAGGTTTATAATCGAAATGACAAGAGTGGCATGTTGTCTCATCCCAACAGCCTAGTCAGGCAGAAGCGAGAATGGACAGTCCCTCCAGCCTTCATACGGGAGGAAGAGGACAATTCCTATAAGAATCCAATTGCTAGAGTAAGAAAAGAGATTAATACGGAATAGATATAAAAATAGAGATTAAAATGTAAAATAAGGGTGGTGGCTGCCCTAAATACATGCACAAGTATTTCTTTAATTTTAAAGGACTGTTGGATGTCAGTTGAAGGTTGCCACATTTCCTTCTGTTTCCTTCCTTCATCAGATGTGTTACTTATGAAGCCTGATTTGGCTCAGTCTCATCTTTTCCCAACCCCAGTTTTCACTAAACTTTTGGGAATGCAATATCTTTGAGCTTTTCCACTCCACCACCCCTACTCAGCTGTGGTTGAACTTGGCAAGCGGGTCCCAAATCTGCTGGTGGTGATTGGGCAGGAGGGTGTAAATAGAGCATGATTATATATGCCTAGTCTTTTAGGAAACAGAGCTAAAAGTGACCAAGGTGTTATCCTTTGTGCAAGAGTGATCTGCAGTTGGTTCAGAGCCAGTGTTGAAACCTGAATGCACCACAGCTGTCACTTCAGCATACAAAGTGACTGCAAGTCATAGCTGGCTGTTACTTACTACTGGGGCTGCCCCTTGATGGTGGTGCTGGCCCAGTGCACGTGTGCTTTTCCAAATGTTTTGGGTATTTTCTGACAGCAGGGAAAGGGTGTAATCTCTAGTCTATGCAACCTCTTCTACCTATTCATCTCCAGGACTGACCATTCTTCTTCTACTCTGTCACTTCTCCATTCTGGTCATATTCACTAGCTTAGATCTGATCTTCTAGGTCATCTCCCTGCTCCAGATGTTTCTCATTTCCCTGAACCAGATCCTCAAACAGAACATGCAGCTCTTCCTGCATTCATCTCAACATCTCCACAGTCAAAGGAGTGCAGTGAAATGTGTTTAATATTTACTTTTGTTTCTTCATTACAAAATAGCAAAAATATTTTATTACGCTTTTATACATGGTTTTATTTACTGAGTGCTATTTAATCTGTTATATTCCTGCTAGATACATTCAGATCTTGAAGATACAGGCATAGTAGTAACTTACACTATATCTGGTCAAGGAGTAACAGAACCCCCTTATGGATTATTTGTTATCAATGGAAAGACTGGAGACCTGAACATAACAGGAAGGGTAGACAGAGAAAAGACTCCAATGCTGCTTGTAAGTTGAAAATTAATTTTTTCCTTATAAGTGCCCTCCTGTTCATTTTTTTACTTACTGTCTTCAAATGTGTTTGCTTGAAATATTGTTACTATTTCTGGATATTTATGTGTGTATGCATGCTTCTATTTCTAAGCATATATGATATGTTTGTATAATGTCTAGATTTTGTTATATATAATATATGTATTTCTATTTTGCATATGCATTTATGTGTTTACAGTCACTCACTGGGTGTGCTTATTGTTTCTGTTTGTGTTATTATCAGCTCAGAGGTCATGCGCTAGATAAGAATGGGGCAAAACTGGAAGAGCCAATAGATCTCCCAATTAAAGTTGTGGATATAAATGACAATTTTCCAGTGTTTTCACATGAAGTTTTTGTTGGTTCGATTGAAGAATTAAGCGAAACAGGTAACTTATTTTTAGATTTTTTTTTTCCTTTAGCTTTTCCCAACACATGCAAGAGCACAGGTGAATATGCACTTCTCAGCAGTATACCTGCAGTAACAAGGGTACATTATCTTGCTGACATAAGCCAAATTATCCATGTCTGAATGCAAGCTTTTATTCAAGGCTAAGCCGTATGGTATGATTAAGGGAGTCCACCTAAAGGCAACAGAGAACAATATTTCCTCTTGTGACACCTTTGGTTTGATATCAAAGCTTCCACAAATCCAGGAACCAGAGTCCTTTAAGAGGAATTGCACAGAAAATGCAATCTGCCTTCTGGCCTAGCAGTCACAGCCTGTTTGGGAGGGACTTCACTCTGCCATGCTCATCCAAAGCCCTGCTTTATCTATGGGCTGGAGAGGTATTTCGCTGTTAAACACATATGTCTGTGCCATAACCATTGAAGAACAAGTTAATACCCATTTTTCTATTGACATCAGTAAACATAAGCAACAGATTATTTCCAAGAAGAAAAAGGAATAAAACAACCTAATAAATACCTGACATTGTGTCCATTTCAGTGTCATGATAATCTGAAGAAACAAATTCTTGGGTAAGGTACTGAGTAACCTCAGCAATCTTTCAAGTCAGCAGCAGCTATATGTAATGGCTCTTTGCATGAATTCCAGCTAATGTTAAAACCTGGGCACTGGACACTGAGGGACACCCTTTCTCAGAGGACAAAACCCTGAGCCATGAGTTACAAAGGGATTGCACCATGGGGACCACCATGTATTTTCAGTGAAGCTGTTGGAGGGCATCAATACAGAGCAATTGTATTAACAATGTTGAGGTAGAGGAATTATTAATGCTCCCTTTAGAATATTGTGTGAGGGAAATGTAGCTCGTTTTCAGAAACTTATGCTTTCTGCTCTGTCAGGATTATTGAGAAAATTCAACCTGTTGTTTAATTGGTGCATTGAATTCTGTGAGTTACAGATATGTGGATACAATCTTTTTCTTGGCTGGAGGATAAACTTTTTACATGTACATTTTGGTTTTAGGAACACTTCTGCAGCTGTATTCATTACATAAATAAAGTCAAGAGCATCAGACAATTGTGCAGTTCATCTAACAAAATTATTTATTGTTGACATTACAATAAAAATATTTGCCAGTGCATGGTTGTATAAACAAGTACTGTATTTTGTTTTCTTTTTCCAGGTACAATTGTAATGAGGATAAATGCAACAGATGCAGATGAACCAAATAACCTAAATTCCAAAATTGCTTTCAGGATTGTGTCCCAAAGCCCTAGCGCTGCTTTCAGTATGGATAAGAATACTGGCGAGGTTCGAGTAGCAAAAATAAATCTTGACAGAGAGGTAAAAATCCCTCCCATTTTTACATTGTAAGCAGTGATCTGGTGCCTGTTGTGTCACCTTCAGCTCAGCCTACAGGGTGAAGAGCTGGCCCTCTTACCTTTTTTCACCTTCCTTGGGATTAAAGCTTTTTTCTGTTTGATGCGTGTTTTTCAGGGATTGGGGAAGGAGGTGATGGGATTGAGGTTGTATTCCCCCCATCACCTACCTAGCACAGCACTAGCCCGGTGGTTGTTGCTTTCTTTACCTCCTGTGCAGTCAGGGCAGCAGTTACACAAAGCAAGGGGTCGTTTCTTTCTGCTGGAGAGCATATGGCAAACACAGTGCAGACCATCGCCTGCAAAGCTGCTGATTGCACCTGGATTTTTGTAGCCTGCTATGCAAATCGAGGTGCAAAGAATTAGGACAGGTGCTGCTGTGAAATAGCGTTTGAAAGCCACGTGTTGCCAGCGATGTCACCTGTGCTTGCAGAGTTTTCCTTGGCCAGCAGATGGGGATGGGGATGGGGATGTTGGCTCTGCAGCTGAGGGACACAGCTCTGCCTCTAGCCCTGTCCTGACATGCAGATGTCACTGGTCCTGTCCTTGTTTATGGCCACTGAAATTTTTTCCTTTTGCCATGTAAGTACAGTCTAACTCTTTGTGGGGAAGATGCAAAAGTCCCATATCCTTTTCAAAGCCTCAGTTTTACTCCAGCAGAGTCTGTCAAGTTGGTTGTATGTGAGATGTACTTCTAGATAGAGAGGAGTTATAATTAACCATGAGTGATATTACAAAAATGTAATAGAGATATTAGAGAAAAGAATTTTTAGCCTTGATTAAACACTTTTTTCTTATCGTGACAGACACAAAGTAGCTATTCTTTGGTGGTGGAAGCAAAAGACCGTGGTGGTCAATTAGGTGGGAATGCTGCAACATGTTCTTTAGAAATCAAGATTTTGGATGTCAATGACAATCTGCCTGTTGTTGAAAGTCATACAGTAAGTACATTTCTCACAATTTTTGGCTTGTTCCTACACCTGACAATATCCTGTTGTTTAATATGACATTGTGCAAAATTTCTTGCACTGGTGAAATGGGGTAAATCATGACATCCTTTTAAAGAGTGGTTTTTTGATTGCAGTTTGAAGGAAGCATTGAAGAAAACAGAGCAAATGTGGAAATTATGAGAATAAAAGTATTTGACAAAGATGAAGAGTTTTCTGATAACTGGCTGGCAAACTTTACATTTGTTTCTGGCAATGAAGATGGGTTTTTCCGTATAGTAACAGATACCCAAACAAATGAAGGAATTTTGACTGTTGTAAAGGTTAGTATAGATTTTACAGATTCTTCTGTAATTAATAGAATAATTTATTCCATCTAAGTTGAGAAACAAATTATATATTCAGTCAACATCTAAAATGTACATTTACATGGTGGACACTCCTCCTTTGTCATATTCTTTGTTATGTATTCAGTAATTCTATGCAAATTAATATTTTTGTCCAGCTCTTCCATTTTCATTCTGTGTGATATCCAATATATCTAGTAGACCAGAAGTTCCCAGACTTCCCTTGTCCTTTGGGCAACAGTGTTAACATACTGTAAACTTGCTGATGTATACATATTTAAAGAAATAAAATTTCTTTATTTCCCCTGGCCACAGATAAGGCAACACCTTATCTGTGGAGGCAACACCTGAGCCATGGGCTACAGACTGTTTTATGAATATTCATAAGTTGAAATTATGAAACTATTTTCCATAAATGGAAGCGTGTATTTTACAAATTTCACTTTCCCTTAGTCCACAAGAACTGAAGATGCATGGTGCCTTAAGTACCTTTTCCTTTTCTTCCTTTTTCTTCCTTTTTTTTTCGTTTTTTCTTTTTTTTCTTCTTTTTCCTTTTTTTTCTTCTTTTTCCTCTTTTTTTCTTTTTTTTGGCTTTGATTTCCTTATCTGAAAGCTGCTAATTGTCAAAAAAAATAATAATTGATGAGCATTATTAAGTAAATTCATTGGTTTAAAAAAAACCCAAAATTTAAAATTGGAAGAGACAAGTAATTGAGCACTGATTCACGGCAAGCACAGGCAAAAAATATGGTAGGACTCCTTGCATGTACCTTAAATTAGTTTTAGTTCAATAATATAAAGCCGTACTTATGGTGTCATCCACTAAAAATAAGAAGAGTGAGAGTAACATGTTAACAAACTTCTTCATACTGTAGCATCCTTATTGCTTAAATACTTCCATCCTTATTACTTAAATAAGGATCCTACAGTATTATTTAAATATTAAATGTATGCATGCTGTCTAAATATCAGATTCTGACAAATTCTGAATTTTTTTTTATTTTTATTATTTTCTTTATTGCTCTAGGAGCTGGATTATGAAAAAATGCAAAGTGTAAACTTGGGCATTGTTGTTACAAACAAGGCAGAGTTCCACAAGTCAATTAAACACAGTTACAAAGCACAAACAATTCCAATCAAAATTAAGGTGATTAATGTGCAGGAAGGCCCTGTGTTCCCTGGTGGCACAAAAATTATTGGAGCAAGTGAGAAACTGCAGATAAAACAGGTTATTGGACAGTATCAAGCCTATGATGAAGACACCGGAAAAATTGCAGAGCGCATTACGTAAGGATTTTTTTAGCCATCATAAATGAGTATGTTAGAAGTCGCATCTTGTTGTAAAAATGTGCATGTTGAACTGAAATAATTTCAAAGGCAAGAATTTTCTACTAAGCATAATTCACACCTTAAACTAAATCATTATCATCTTCTTCAGTATTCTATTATGCAATATTCTTTTGTTGTGCATGGTGAGACATGAGTGTTTGGGCTGAAGCTGTACATGCTTGCACAGTGTTTGTCATGCCTGTCTACTTTTCAAGCATAGATTTACCCATCTGATTTCACTGTCTCCAAAAACTTTAGGAAGAAATATGCAGAAACATCAATCAGTAGGACAGAAAGGGTATACCATAGATATGTCTGCATGTGTGTGCTTGGATTGTGAATCATAGCTCTTCAGCTAGAATGTTATTGAATCACCACCATGGCTTTTACCAATGGTGTACAGCAGAGTTGCATAGCCCCTCTCTCCCATGCCTGTAGTACAGTGTCTCCTGGGGGGCTGATGCTCAGCTTTTGCTGAGAGCAGAGGTGGAGGGGAAGACAGTGACCAGCAGTGCACCTCCCTCTCCTTTTTGGTCTTGCTCCCTTAGTGTACTTTATGTAATCTCTCCACACCTAAATCCTGGCTTTAGGGGAAAAAACAGGTTTCAACATTCAGCATAGGTTTACAGTTGAAACCAATTACAGTTACGCAGGAGCGTCAGACCTCAGACCTAGGGATTTGATCTCTGCTTTAAATGAAGAGTAAGCATACTGTAAAGATGTTTTTTCTGATGATGTTTGTTTTCCTCATTATAACTGTGTACATCTTTATATATGATTTTTATCAGATATGTGAAAGGAAGAGATCCAGCAAACTGGATCACTGTAGACTCAGTCACAGGTGAAATCCGACTTGCTAAAAAACTCGACTACGAATCATCTCATGTAGTAAATGGCACTTACACTATCACCATGTTGGGTGTAACTACTGGTAAGTTGAGAGGGTTTTCTTTTCACCTTAATTGATTTGTTTGCCTTTCTACAACAATAGTTGGTTTAGTCTGCCTATCTTTAAAGTTAGGCACCGAGTGCAGTTTCCCATAGGCTGTGTATTCAGAGGAGAGACACGGACAACTCATTACCATGGAACGGGTTCCCATGGTGCCTGTTTCTCCTCTTTGACTAGATGAAGGTGAATGTTTCGTAAAAGTTTTGCAAAGGTAAGTCTGATAGGAACATCCCTTGTCAGGGTGGAAATTGCTAATATCTCAGTATGCCAATTAGCAGACTTCATAGTCTCAACTTTTCTAGAATACTAAGCAAGAAAGAACTTCCCTGAACTTCTTGTGTATGTAATTGGAATTCTCCATTTATAATCGACATGTTACTGTGTAACCATAGAGGAAATTTTTTTTAAGTTAAAATAAGAAAACAACTTGCCTTCAGAAGAACTTTGTCAATATTTTTTATTACTATTGGGAATGAAATACTACTCTCAGAAGCTCCACGGAGAGCTCTTTCAACTTACTTCAGCAATGTTGGTGGTTTGGAAAATATTAAGTTTTTTATTTTAAGATTAAATTTTTTGCACAAATAAATTTAATTTTTCTTATTTTAAAATTATAGATTTTCCTAAGAAAACGGTCACTGGCACAGTTGTCATTCAAGTTCAAGATGAGAATGATAACTGCCCAGTTATTGTGAACCCTGTGCAGACTGTGTGTTCAGATGCAAAATTAGTTGATGTTACAGCTAATGATTTGGATGGTTACCCAAATAGTGATCCCTTCAGCTTTACTGTCATTGATGAGCCAGAAGGAACAGCAAAAAAATGGATAATTGCATCCAGAAATGGTAAGAAGATGTATTTTTACTTTCAGTTCTTTGGAGTCTTAGTGTTGTAATTTATTAATTCCAGGCAAACTGACAGTTTGGCTGATTCAGACCAAAAAAACCCCTATATATGGAGTCAGGCATTAAGACCATCACTTGCATTCTGCTCCCTTCTCTCTAGAGGTTATAAAAGCACAGTCATGTTCTCTGGGGCATGTTGTCTTCCCTCAGCTAGACAGACCATCTTTTCCTGGCTTGATGCCGCATATGAGGTAACCAGGATTTCATAGCTACCACTGGGATCAAGCTATCCCCATCTTATCACAGAAAGCATGCAGTGATGGAGGATGCTTTTTGTTAAAACTGAGCTTGGGGGTGTGGTTGTGTTACTGGCTGCAGTTGCTCTAATTTACAAATAAATAAATCTGTCTGCACAGTGGACCTCGAAAAGGAGAAATACAGTGTAACCTGTCTAAAGATTGTCCAGCATGATAGGAACAAAAACAAGGCAGAAAGCATAAATAATTTTAACAAGTATTTCAAAATTAAATTAGCATTTTCTTATATTTCCATTCATATCAGCCCAAAAAATGCTCAAAGGAAATGCTTCAGGTAGATTCAAGGCACCAGAAAACATTTTTTTTTCCTTCTCAAACTCATTATTTTGCCCTCTGCAATCCTACACTGCAAAGCAATCAGCAGAGCCATCCTAATGGTCAAGTTTAGGACCAAGAAAGAATCTTAGCTTTCATCACCTTGCTTGCAGCCAGACTAGCAGTAATTGTAGGGATCACAGCTTTTCCAAATAGGGTAGCGTTGGCAGCTGGGAACATCATCTGGACATAGACAGCAAGCTGTTCATGAGCCAGCAGTGTGCTCTTTAGGCCAAGAAAGCCAATGGTATTCTGGGGTGCATTTGGGAGAGCATTCCCAGCAGGTCAAGGAGGTCCTGCACGTCCTGCCCTTCTACTCAGCTGTAGTGAGGCCACATCTGGAGTGCTGTGTCCGGTTCTGGGCTCCTTGGTGCAAGAGAGACATGGAGCTCCTGGAGCAGTTCCAGCAGAGGGCAACAAAGGTGATTAAGGGACTGGAGCATCTCTCTTACAAGAAAGTGCTGAGAGATCTGGGCCTGTTCAGCCTCAAGAAGAGACGACTGAGAGGGGCCCTCGTCGATGCCTATGAGTACTTAAAGGGAGGGTGTCAGGAGGGTGGGGCCAGGCTCTTCTCGGTGATGCCAACCACTAGAACAAGAAGCAATTCACAGAAACTGATTCACCGGAATTTCCACCTGAATATGAGGAAGAACTTCTTTACTGTGTGGGTGACTGTGCACTGGAACAGACTGCCCAGAGGGGTTGTGGAGTCTCCTTTGCTGGAGATATTCAAGAACTGTCTGGACACAATTCTCTCCCATGTGCTCTGGTATGACTCTGCTTGAGCAGGGAGGTTGGATCCGATGACCCACTGTGGTCCCTTCCAATGTTACCCGTTCTCTGATTCTGTGATCTCCTGCCTAGTTGGGCCCTGACATGATGCAGCCACAGGAGCAGGTATTATGTTGGCTCCCCGTTCTCTGCCTGTGGCTACAATAGATTAATCTCCTAAAGATTGAAGCTGGGGTTTTTTGAGTTCAGCCTTTACCTATCTGGATATTATGGTTGATACAATATAGGTGATTGGACTTCCATAGTAAGTCTCTGGTGGTGTGAAACTTCAAAATTATGTGAGGCTGCAAGCGAGCATGGCTGCTTTGTTACCAGCGTGAATTACTTGATAAAAATAAAAGCACATATACTATAAATAGCAGCAGCTAATTAAACTTAATTCCATTGCATTGGCTAGAGGGGCTTTGTTGGGACACTGTGAAGGAGTTTTTTTTTACTGAGTTTATGGGAGTCAATTTTCTCTCCACTCATTTCTTGTCTTTTCTTTTTCTTTAACCCCGCCCCCGGCCACTTCTGCCTCAGGCACAAGCGTACAACTTGTACCACAAAACCTGAAGCCAGGCAGAACTGAAGTTCCCATCCTAATAAAGGATTTCCAAGGCCTCAGCTGTGCTGCACCACAGTCTTTGCAGTTGACTGTTTGTGAGTGTACAGATGACAGCGTGTGCCAAGAGAAGTTTATTGGCAATAAGTCAGTGGGTCTGGGACCAGCAGCAGTTGCACTAATCATCTTGGCATTTTTACTTTTGCTGCGTAAGTAATTGTTTCATGTTATCTCAGAAGTACTGTAAATATGGTCTCCAAAGCATCAGGAAAGAAATAGTCCAGTTCCCAAGTTTTATCATCTTGATATATTCTGTGTAAACTCCTAGTCTTGTGGGAAGTCATGGCAGATGCCCAACTAAATTTTGGTAATATCAGCATTTCAACCTCAAAGGATTTCAAGCTGTGCATTTTAAAATTAATATGAACAACTTTAATATTTGTTTATGGTGCTGTAAATAACAGGTGGGGAAGCAGTGAGGAACCCTTTCAGTGTTCCCACGTGTCCCCAGGTGAGCCCTAACTCTTCCTACTCAAACCACAATGCATTCTCCACTCTCTTCTCTGTCACTGCAGGTCTGCTGCCTTGCTCAGAGCAGCATGTGACGTTGTTCTTTAGTGAGACAAAATAGAAGCTCAAAATAAGAGACGAATACTTATAGTCAGGGTATGGCCATATGTAGCAGTGCTACATTTAAACTCACAATAATTTATTGCTTGTGCTGGCAGCAATCTAACTGTGATAAAACAAAGTTCATGCCACAGGAATAATATGCTCTGCTCCTGAAAGTGGATTATTTTGAGTTCCCCAGGCGACACTCAAGGCAAGTGAAAGGAGTGGTAAGGTGGAATTTACGTGATGCCATGTTGTTATCTAGTAATAAAAGAACAGGAGGAGTTAGAAATGCTGAGGTTGTACAGTGATATCAGGGCTTGGGTTTGGTATATGAGATCTTTGATAGAAGTGTATCTACCTACACGTGTGGTCATCTGCAGGATTCAGGCCCTGACGTGTTAATTGTCAGTTTACTCTCTAGGAAACTGACCTGGCATATCTAGTAAATGCCTTGTTCAGGAACCTGTCTTCAGTCCTTGTCAGCCCTCATACTGATCACTACCTCATTAAAGATACATTTAAATATGGGAGCTGGCCATACTTATACTGGCTGTTAGTATGCTTAGGCCCTAACAATCACATAGTTAATGGCAATCTTCTGTTTCCCTATAGTTATTCCATTGTTACTGCTGCTGTGTCCTTGTGGCTCGGGAGCAATAGGATTTGGTGGAGCAAAGACATTTGCTGCAATACCAGACTACAGTGAAGCAATGCTGCGTCAGTGGAACAGCGAAGGAGCAGCTCCTGAGGAGAAGGCATGTATCCCTAATAGCATTTCTCTTTGATTTCTATTCCAGTGTTCAGTTTGGCACTTGATACCTTTTCCACATGACAGGCTGATGTTTTAAAGCTCTACAGAAGATTTTAGCAACACATGAACATTAATTAAAATTAACCCTGTGAGGCTCAGTGAAGGATGTATGGAAGATTAATTCCACCAGCAGCTGTAGAAAAAGCAACCATAGCACTTTCTATAGGGAAAACAATCAAGCAAATGTTGATGGTATCTGAGCAGAAGATAGGACTGTGGGAAAAGCATCAAATCTATAGAGAGTGAAACATTTGCATTTGCAAGCCTGGAATGTTCTTCACCCCTTTGGGAGCATGGTAAAGCAGAAAGAGCATGGGTTATAAAGCTTAGCTTCTTGTTGGTTTAAAGTTTAAGACTGTGTTTTAAATTACTTCCTTGTGTATTTCCTAAACAGAGGAAATTCTTAATTAAGAAAGAGAAAGGCAGAAAAAAAGTGCAAATCTGCAGAGGGAACAGTGAATGCCAAGAGAAGTTTGCCCTTTGTTGTTATGCTACAAAACAAAGTTTTCCAAAAAAGGGCATGACACTGACATGCTTTTGCACAATAACAAAGAAACAGAGGGTGAAAGACTTTGATTTAGGCCCAATGCTCACACCAAAATCATGTTAAAAGATAATTAACAGGGAAGCCAAACTGCTAGGAAAAAAGAAAGGGGCAACCTTTTTTTGGTATTTTCGTTTTTGTTTTTGTTTGTTTTCTTTTTTTACACTTTCAATCCTCTAAGTTTCAAGAAAACAGTGATCTGTAGAAACATTTCCATGATCCTCCTTGGGAATACAGTTGTGGAAGCTGCACCCTGTTTCAGGACACCTTTCACTCTTTGCAGCAACACGTATAAGTGCAAATTCAAACAAGTCATAAGACAGCACCCTCCCAGGTCCCACCCAGCCCCACTCTGGTTTGGTGAGTTCCATGTGCTAGACAGCAAAGCTTTCATGTCACATCTTAATTTGTCTTATTTATGTAGCCAGTGCTAAGCTTCATTCCACCCACTGCACTGGGAAACTCAAAAGGAGCAACAACAGCAGCGGCGGCAGCAGCAGCGGGAGGAATGAGTGGAGGTGAAACTGTAACAGCAGCAGGCAGCTCTGTCTCTCACGTGGGAGAGCATCACAACACTATTACCAAGGAAAGATGGGAAGAGCAAAGACGTCTTCTTTCCAGTGCCGAGTATGGAGCCATGGCAGCTGGAGCGGCTGAAGGCATGGCAGGTATAGAGGGCAAGACAGTGGTGTCTGGAGGAGGACTTGCAGTGGGAGCGGCAGGAGCTATGAATGAAGAATTTTTAAGAGACTACTTCAATGACGTAAGCATATGACCCGAAAATAACAGTATTTTGATATTTACACTTAGCATTGTGAAATTTTGTTCATTTTACTACAAACACAGATGAGTAGATAACTGTGTATAAACAGTCTTGATACAGTGCCCAATGTTGTGTGCATGTGGAGTTGGGGACATTAAGGATTTTTGGATTAGCCTCATGTGCAAGACTTAGAGCATGACAATGCTCGGTCTTGTAGCACTGAGTGCTTGCAAGGTGTCCCACAAATAGACCTTCCTCTCAAGGAAGGTTCTTTGGAATGGGATCCAGGAGGCCATTGTCCAGGAAAAAGCCATGAGAAAGACTAGGTGATCTAAATCTCAGGGACTTAGGCACGTTAAACTGGCCTGTAGGAAGGCACCTGTGACTCATCATGAGTCAGAGCTACAAACTTTACCATGGAGCAGGTTTTGGAAAGATAAGCTAAAGATGTCAAACGTCAGAGGGTGGGTCTGCCTTTTCAAAGTAGCTGACTTGCTGTTTGCCCAATAGCCTGGGTAAAGAGCCATTCATCAAAAGCCTGTAAGGCACATGTTGCAATCTCTTTTCTACATTTTTTTTTATTTACTGACCTAACCATTGGCCAATAGGATGTTGCTACTCATTGCAACTATTCCTCTTTGTGTAATGCACATCACTAGTCTTTTGGCTGGTGATCTGCTTGTAGTGAAAGTTTCACTTCCATACCTGTACAAACACCTTCCAGCTGGCTGCTGATGTGGTTTTGCAGGGGAGTAGCTGTTCAGATTTGAATCACCACCTCAGGCCAGGGAAGGATTTGAGCTTTAGATACTTGTATGTCTTGGAGCGCTCTAGCTATTGGTTTTCTGGGTGAACAGACGCAACAGTAGCAATCTGCTTTACTTCCAGTCTTTGTGCTTCCTAATATTAAGACATACTTTAAGCATAGCTGCCCGATGAAGTCCTGCAGGAGGGAGATCGTACTCAATACTCTGTACAACTTCTGTGAGGCTAAAATATCTCAGATTATAAGGGTGCAGAAACAGACAAGTAACCAAACCAAATAGTTTCAGATGTATGCTAATTTTTGTAGCAGAATCTTGGTTCATGTGCCTACTCCCAGAAACAAATGCAAATAAACATATAGAGTTGGTTTGGGTCTGGATATATACCACATTACACAGAGGCCTGAGCTAATATGAACTCTAGAACATAAAATGTGGCAGAAGGGTGGTTCTGAGCACAAACCAGCAACCATATTACATAAAGCTGGTTCAGCAGGCTCAGAGGATTTGGCTGTCTTCACTTCTGGAATTGGAGCTGACACAAGCATGTACACAGATATTTGCTAGCACCACAGCAGCTCTATTGCAGACACTGCTTTCAGACTGAGCTGACCCTGTAAGCACTGTAGTCAGAACCCATGAGCCCTCCGTGTTGCCAAGTGTCCTGCATAGAGTCTAAGAATTTACGTGATGGACTATATATCCATACTTACCAATCCATTCAACTTCTTGATTTGTTTGCTGTTGGGCATCTTGGGTGTGATCCTGGAGGTTGTGCTAGTGCAAAGGACCATGGCAGGTGAGAACATGTCAGCATGTACTCATTAAATGTTTGTTTAAATGTTAGGATACTCTCAGGCACACTATCGGGATTCTTCCACAAACCCCTAGTTAGAGGTGAAGTTTATTCACTGACCTAAGTTAAAACAATCTCTGTGTGAATATGGAGCAGTATCACAAATGGCACAACTACTGGAAGGAACAGCAGCAAGTGGTGATAGTATCAAAGGTTTTCAATTTAATCTCAGATTTTTCTTCTCTTCAAGTGTGCTGTCAGGTTCAGACCAACTTCAAAAAAGCAAAAAACCCTTTTATGCACTGCCCTCATATGGTTGACACTTTCTGTGGGTTCAGTTAATTTTTTTATTTCTACCTTTTTAACCAAACATTCCTGATTTTTCAAAATTGTTATGTATAGAGCTGGCATTGATGAACTTTTGCTTGCTTTTGTTTTCTGTCTGTAGAAAGCTGTCTCTTTTGCGGATGAAGATGAAGCACAAGCTGCCAAAGACTGTCTCCTGGTTTATTCCCAGGGAGAATCAGGCTCCCCTCATGGCTCCGTCGGCTGCTGCAGCTTTATTGAGGGGGATCTTGATGACCATTTTCTTGATGATTTAGGAGACAAATTTAAGACTCTAGCAGAAATATGCATGGGCAGACAGATCAAAATGAAAGATGGTGGCTCCAGGAGTGAATCAGGTTTCAGTCTTAATGACACAAAGTCGCAGTTCTTAGATCAGCAAAATGCTTCTAGCTCTGAACAAGCCTTTGCCTTGGGCAGTCACTTCCAGCCCGCCCCGCCAGTGCACACAGGCAGTGGCACAGGAGAAGACACCCTGTCCAAGGAAGTGGTCACAGAAACAACCTTTTCATCCCATTCTGGGCAGCACAATGCCCAGCCCCTTCCCACAGCCCACACGGAGACCAATGTCAGCGTGACGGAAACATCCTATTCTGTGGGGGCTCCTGCCCACTCGGCCGGTGTCTTTCTAGACCCCCAGTTTAAGGAGAATGTAGTGGTGACAGAGAGAGTGCTGGCACCTGCATCGAGCATTCAGGGTATGGTAAAAATCCCTGATTTGCCACATGGAAGTAATGTGGTGGTTACAGAGAGGATGGTGAAGTCAGCAGGTGCAGGGCCAGGAGCCCTGGCAGTTCAGGATCTTCCCGACTCCAAGTATGTCGTGGTGAGGGAACGAGAGAGGGTGCTTGTGCCTGCTGCAGAGCAGGGCTCACTCAGCTTCCCCACTCCGGCAGAGGAACGCAGCATGGTAGTGAATGAAAGGGTGGTAACAGCCTCAGGGCTGCAGAGCAAAGCTGAACAGGCTGCAGGTGCCAGCTTAGGAAGGCAAGAGCATGTGTTGATTACAGACTCCCCGCTTAACCTGAGGGGCTCCAGCTTAGAAGGGCCATCTCCTGCCAGTGCCACACTGAGCAAGTCTTCCAGGGTCACCAAGTACAGCACGGTGCAGTACACTCGCTCATAGCTTGGCTCCTCACAGAAGTGGCAGTGTCCGGCACTCTTGTGTCTGTATCCATCTTGCCTTGGGCTTTTCCATGAGATCTGAATTTGCTGGAGCTTCCAGAATGACGTGTACTCGCTTGCACTAGTTTGTATAAATATGGATTATATGACCAGGAAGCAAGTAAGGAAATCTACTGTCACTATTATGTAACATTGGCAGCAATGCTTTTGAAGTGGGAAGATGTGGAAAATATATTTATTTTCTTGTTTGCTATATTTATAATTGCTTTTTATTATTTAGTTAGTGTAATAATACCACATTACCAGAGCTGCATAATTACGGAAAACCATGAAAAAAAATCTCAAATCTAGTGATGGATAGTAGCATGCAAAGCACAAGTTAGGTTTCTGAACTGCTCTTGAGTGTATCTGCTGAAGTCCTCCCACGAGGTGAATCAATTTCTCATTTTGTGTTTGCCACCTATTACCTTGTGGGCCAGGGAAGCTTCTCCTGAGCTGCAGATCTCTGTACCTTGGTGACTTGCTAAGAAATCTCTCGTCCCTGAGAAGCCCAGGCCACCGACATCAGTACGTCTTCAGGGCAGTGGTGTGTTGATCTCCTGAGGGGATGTCACAACTTCGGGTTATCAGCATTTGTAACTTAAGCAATCAATACTTGCACATTAGCACAGGGGTTAGAGACAGCAAGTAGCAAAAACGCTGAACACTGCAATTTTTTTGTCACCTCAGCGTAAGAATTCCATTACTTGATGTAGGTCTACACTGACATGGACAAGTAAGCATTTGCATCACATACATTTTTCACTGGCTCCTAATTGGTCCTTTATTTAACATATGAGAAACAGCTAAAACTTACCTTACCTTTAGAGGCAGAGATTTAGACAGTGGCTTTGCTAGCAAAGTTTGTGGCCCTTAGACATCTGTAGGATCTTATTTACAAGTGCAATTAGGTATTTGCAATTCTGTCTGTGAACTCACAGATACAGAAATGCAGCCTGGTATGTGTGAGGTTCCACTGGTTCCAGTACAAGAGCTCAGGTGGCCTTTATAGTGCTGTGTAATGGCAGCTTTACTTGGCTCTGACAAGACAAGAGAAAGCTCCCTTTAGGTCTTTTATTTCCTTGAAGTTTATGTGGTAAAAGCAGAAGACAATACTGCACTGTTTGGCAGTATGTATATATGCACATGTAAATATTTGTATGCTGTTTGCAACATTTAAAAGTTAATTTTATAATAGAAAAAACTGTCATATACTCCTCGTGTTTTCTCAGAGTAGATCAGGTGTTGGTACTGTGTTTATCTCATACCTGTGAAATCAGCAAGGTGGTCATATGGTACTGCAAATCCTGTGGATCTGCAGAGCTTTCAGGTTGTCTCCATCTTTCCTGGAGTTTTCCTGCAGCTGCAGTGTTATGTTTTCCTCTGATATGTTTTGCCTTTGACTAGAAATGCTTTCAGTGTGTTTCATTTTACTAATAATGATGTAAAAGTTGCTTCAAAAATGTAAACATATAAACTAGGAACCATGACTATGCTCAACATGACAGATGTGCCATTATATGAAGTAGAGTAGTATTTCCAAACAAATCAAACTACTTGCTTGCTTGGACCTGTTGGTTGTTTATCTCTAACACTTCATTTTTAAAATATGTGTGTATTTACTTCTAAGCAAGCCTGAGGTTCTAAGTAGTCACCACTTTCCTGACTCTCTAATGGAATATTTCTGTGGGTTTATGCAATCTTAAAATAAAGGACTCTACTGTATTTTTTAGTTCTTCATTCAGAGAGCTACCCCAGTTAAAACACTGACATTCCTACTGCAAATAAAGAGTTTAAAGATAGAATGAGAACTGGGATTTCCCAAACAGCCTGAAGGAATATGTGAAAGATGCAGATGTAAAAAAAGTTGGTGTCCTGCTAACTTAGAGATTCTGAAAAAACTGTGAATTCTGCCTTCTGGTTAAGTGGACTAAATTCTATAATAATTTGATGCAAGACAACAGCATTCTAGGCACAGTTTTATTGGGCTCTGAGTCAAACTCTTCTGATCAGTTTATACAGACAACATGGCATAAAATATTGTCTCAGTTTTATAGTTGTTAAAACATGCAGTTGTTAACATCCAGAAGAAGATGTAAAAATCGGGACTGTGTCACAGAAATCCTGACTTCCCTGTGTATTGTTTATATATAAACCTTTATCACAGATCTGCTTGTGCTGTGAAGAGTCTATTTGAATAGATTCATTGAGCGAGTCTCCATTATTTCACTTAGTCTTGTACCAAGACTTCAGATGCTATCAGCATGTGCTAATGCTGGCAGAACATCCATCAGATTAAGTCACTTCTAATGGAACTGTGTTTTGTAAATGATGGTGAGTGGTGGGAGGAATGTACAGACCCAAATTAATGGAAGTGCCTGGTTAGCATCTGACTACTAGATAACCACAAGAGGGGAACTAGCTCTAGACACTTATCTTTGTGAACATGCCTTGTTCTGACTTCAAAAGGAAAAACAAGGTCTGTAATTTTCTTATCTAAGAATAATAGAGCACAGTTACACTGAGATGCCAACATGACACGGATTATATCCACGCTGCTCTTCTGTGATTTATAATAACTGTGAATCCTTGCTAAGTATGTTGGACTCCATAAATATGAACCAGCATGCCACAACAAGGATACAGCATGCATCCTGCATACCCACAAGGAAGTATTTCTTGTGTCATCCCTCAGTGTATACTTGGAGCCAGGCTAGACTTCGCAGGACAGGGCAATCTCTTCCAGGCTCCATTCCTTTCTGGGAATTTGACCATAGTGCATAATGAAAGGCTTAAAGCTTGTCTAGGTTATCAGCAGTAAATCAGCTTTAAAAGAGAAAATAAATCAGCTGCTGTCCCTCAGAGAGCGATGGTAAGTGTTTATGGCCTTGAGGCATCCCAAAAATGCATCACTCCATCAGGGTGCACTGCAGTAGCAGAGCTAGTGGCACTGGCTGTCTCTTCTGCTGGCACCTTCTCCCTCCTGGTGGCCTTGTGCTTCCTGTGAGCTCAAAGTGCAGTGGCAGTGACAGCCATCCATTCTTCCTGCCTTATGGGCAGGAAGGCTGGCCTCTGCCTGCTACTAGTGCAGGCTTTCAAATACATTCCTCCTGCCAAACCAACTTAGGTGAAAATCAGGATGGGAGTAGAATCAAACTGTATTTGCATGTGAGGACACAAGGCTGGGCTGAAGAGTGTCCCCAGGGGCTCGGAGTGCCACTTGAGCGTGGATTTTGACCCCACATTGTAGCACACAAGCTAGGAAGGACAGCACCAAGGTGTCTGAGGTCCTGTTAGTGCTCACCACATCGTGCAGAATTTGCCAGCACACCCTGAGCTGCAGAGTGGGCCCCCAGCAGTACCTGGTTTTGTTGGCATGACAGGCAGAATGGCGCCTGTCCACCTGGGCCCATGAAGACTTTGGCTCAGGGGCCATCCATGGAGGTGGTTGAGGGACCCACCTGGGCTGTGGCCTGGTGTGGGGAGCAGCACTGTGCCCTGTGCCATAGCTGGGGTTTAGAGGGGTCAGAGCATGGCAAAGGACTTGGGGGCTTTGGCTTTTCCTGAAAGAATTTGAACCCACTGTTCTCCCAGCCCGGGATGCATCATGTGGGAATGATTGTCACGTCTCCTGCTCCACAGAGCACACCTGCAGCTGAAGCACACACTCCATTACAAAAGCTGCAAATGATAGAATTTACATGGTTGCAAGGCACAAGTGCATGGAAAAGCAAGGCGTTGGGAGTTACTGAACACACAGAAGTGGCTTCTGGCCATGGGAAAAGCTGATCTCTGAGAGCCCTGGTGTGAAAACCCTCTTCCATAGGCATCCTCCAATGGTGACTGCTACTGATGAGATACTGGATAATAAGAACTCTTGGCATGACCCAGAAGAGGCTTGATGTCGAGGGATAACAGGACAGCATTCGCCTGAGGCAAAAGGATAAATGAGGAGTGTGACTGAGTAGAAACAGGGTATTTGCCTACCCTGCAGAGAGCCATCACTGAATAAAAAACCAATGTGGGGCAGGGCCCTAATTGTCCAATAAACACTCATTCCCCAATAAGCCCCCAACCCTCTAGTGAGAGTCACTGCTGGGAAACAACTGCACAAATGTAGCTGTTGTGACACCTGAGCTGAGCAGAATGATTTCAGTCTTCAGCTCCCAGTTTCTCCAAGTGGCCTCACCTCAGGATCCGGCACTAGAGGTGGTCAGGTACCCTGGCACATCATGTTGCTCAGGACCCAACTAATAAATGCCTTTTTATGTAATTCTAAGCAACTTTTATTACACGCCAAATGGTGAAAGTTCCAACTTGTGTTAGCTAGCGAAGCCCATGGAGAGAGGGATTCACACTGTGCAGATATTCCCTCTACTTACTTCATTAGTTTCTATTAGATATTGACACGTGTACAAAGTGGTAGCACTGGTTTTAAAATTGCACTGAATCTCATTTCCTTGAGATATACGACAGAAAGCATCTTCAGCCATATGGTGGGGATGCATCCAGAAGGTGCTGTGGACATGTTGGGGAAAAAACACATAGCAAACAGTTCTCCTAGTTGCTGGGGGGTGGGGTGGTTTATAGCCCTCCCACCTCAGCTTTAAGCTGGTTTCTGATCTGCGATTCGAATGTTTCATCAGAATAGTTCTCCTAGATCTGTTATCTCTAGCAAACAGAACTCAGAGATATCACCTCACAGTGATTAAGCAACAAACTGGCTGGTTGATTCCCTGGCTAATGATTATCCAAGATCTTTGGAGAGTGACTAAAGTTTAAACCCTGGGGGAGAGCAGGAGTTTGAGTAAACAGTGCTAGTACCACTGAAACAGCTGACAGGTCCCTGTCGGGCCTTGAATCCAGCCTCTGGAAGCAGCCAGCTACCCTTCTCCTGCTGAGGATGGAGCATCTGGGAGCAGCTGTGGAACACAGGATGATGGCAGACACTGAGCTCCTGGGAGTAGCTGAGTGGCAGTGACACGGCTCTGGGCAGCAGGAGGGCCCAAGCCCTGGGCTGGGTACCAGGGGCAGGGCTGCAATAGCCCAGGTTAACCTCCAGCCTAGCTGGGTGCCTTCATCACATTCTCTGGCCACCCACTATGCTTTTCTTGCTTCCCTTGATTTCTTCCCCTCATGAAAATCTCCCGGCATTGTCTTTCTAACGTAAGGCAGATTTACTTTTTTTTTTAATCTGTAGGTATTACCAATTACTTCTTTCATCCTTTCTTGAAAAGAAAACTAAAAGCAGAGCTTACAAGTAGAAGGAATTATGTACTTACGGCATCAGCTTTTAGATGGAGCCAAATCCCATCTCCCAGATGATGCGTTGCACCTGATAAAATGCACCCTGACAACACACAGCTGGTACTGACAGGGGCAGATTTGCTCTGCGTGCAAGGGTGCTCACCATTTTGCCATTTATCATCCTATTTTACATCTATCACTTCTGTAACCAGCAAGCTTGACTTTTGCAACAGCAGCAAAGACAGATAGCCTCTCACACTCTTTTTGAATCAGAACCCCAGAGAGGTACTGTCAAAATAATAGATCTGTTAAAGAAAATCTTCCTTGTCATCCATCCTACCTTTGTTTTGTGAGATGCAGTACAGATTTTAATTTTTCATAGTCCTCATAACTTGGAACTCCCTACACTCTTCCTTTACTAGAATAAAGTATTTTTCCCTAACACAAACAAACCAAATCAATCAGAGTTCTGAGGTGTGAGGTTTGTCAGGCATCTCTTTAAACAAACAAGCAAATTAGACTTAGTGTCAGATGGGTAAAAGAGTGGTTGTCCTCTAAATGACCCAAATACTCTTTTCCAGGGTGTGTTAGTGGAATTGGTTAGTAGTTGAGCTTACTGCATTTTGGACAAATGGCTGTCGGCTGGGGCAGATGAAGCCCAGACTAGAGCAGGTAAACAAGCGGGATGGATCTCAAGGACATGTCCTAAACAAGGAGCACGGGATCATTCTCACACCCCAGTTCTTTGAATTAATGAGCATTTAAATATTTGATACCATGTGAAGCAAGTCCAGGCAGAGCGACCTTACAGCACCCTTGAAGACCTTAGTTAGGATGCTCTTATCAAAGAAAGAGAAGGCAGAATGGAACTGAACACAGGTCTTCTCTCACACGAAAATTTCCCTTACAACTTGAATATAGTCAACCATCATTATAAACTCTGCTACATTCCCTGGCTCATTCTGCTCATGTTACTTCATAAGATTAGTTCAAAGTATTTGTGAGACACACAGAATATTTTTTTCAAAAGATAGAGTTAAAGGAAAATAAATCTTATCTGCCTTTAAATCCTCATCCCTTCCCATTGTTTTCATCCTTTCAAATCCAAAAAAAATCCTGCAAAGTAGTTTAAAATTAAAGGAAGATAGAAGTACCTTGCACCTGTTGAGCCTAACAGAGTAATAAGAGCTGACAAAGCAACTACAGTAAAACTGGACTTGTTACAGTTAACTGTTCAGGGATTAAGGAAGTCTTTTGAAAGAGATATTTAAACAAACATTCTGCTAAGAAATCCTAAAATTTGAAGACACCCACTAACCCACTTATATGAGGTATTTCAGTGTATTGTTTGCCAAAGATCTCACCACTTCATTGTGATCCCCTTCCTACAAATCCCACTGATAATTTGTTATGCAGTCTGACGTCCCACTGTACTGGTTTTAGCTGGGATAGAGTTAATTTTCCTCATAGCAGCTCCCATGGTGCTACATTTTTCATTTGGGACCAGAGCAGTGTTGCTAACACAGGGATGAGTTGGTTATCGCTGAACAGCACTTGCAAAGTGTCGAGGCCTTTTCTGATTCTCACATTGCCCTGTTAGCAAGAAGGCTGGGGGTGGGCAAGTGTTTGGGAGGGGAGAGAGCTGGGACACTACATCCACAGTGCAAAATCCAAAGAGAAGGGCAGAACATGGTGCTGTTCCAGAGTGTCTGTACTTATTTCTCAGATATCCTATTCAGATTTTTCACTGGGAAGGAGTATTCTGTCCTATGCCAAAAAAAAAAAGGTTTTGAAGAACCTGAGT